TAGAGACTACTTGCTGCACAGATTGCTTATCTCCTGTCTTAAACTATACTTTTTTCAGACTGCACCTGTGATGCTGGCTGAGGGTTTTCTTTTCTCCTCACTTATATCCCCATAGAGGGGGATTCTTTCCCTTCCCCATTGTGTTGCATAGTGTGTAGTGTTGGGGTCCTTTGTCTCTTTCACCAATCTGAAGCTCAATATTTCTGGATTTCCCTTGGTCTCTCTCTACTGTTGACTGTTGTACCTGTGCCTTTCATCACCACTCATCTTTCCCTGCAGCCCTGAACCTTATGATCTGTCAGTCTACTGCAGATACAAGAAATTACTCAGTGAATCTAGCTCATCATCTTCCTATAATGTTTTAAAATATAAAACACAAAGCACATTTTATACATAAAAGGATATATAAAGTCAGGAGAAATAATTTAAATGGAAAACTCTATAAAACCACTCATGTTTCTTTCATGACAGCAACCTAAAATGAGATGAATATTTTAGACAGTGTGAAATTGTTCCATTTTTCATGACTGGTGTGATCCCTGGAAAAAGTAGGACATGAAATACCTAGATGTCCCTAAAATGTCAGTTGCCAAGGTTCTTGACAAATAAAAATAGAGAATGAGAGTAGGCTAAGAATGAAATACCTCAATAAATGCTCTGTGAATGAACATCAAATCTGTACATGCAACACTGGGAACTGAGCAAACTATTATTGTCTGTAAGGAGAACTTTGTTTCCTTTGTACACTAAGTGAGCCTTTCCTTTTAGTGCTGCTCATACAAAGGAAAGAACAAGCTGATGATGCCATTGCTTATGTAATTTATCTAATAAAATCTGAATATCTATAGCATCCATCTATAGGACACTCTGGCACAAAGATAGGTGCCAGAGTGCCATGGAGAGCATAAAATCACTTGTCCAGGTAGCTGGCACTTAGTTTTCTGTCAGGTGCTGAAGAAGATAGGTGGTTGTTATCATTGGTAAAGCACTGTGGATGGGATAAGTGCTGTTAGTCCATCTGTCCACCACTGGACATTTGACCTTCTCACCAGTGTTGTGCTCCTCTTAGACTCTTTGCTGTTAGTTAGCTTATCTCTCTTGAAAGTTTATCTCCCCTGTTAGAAAGGTTCAATAAACCTGATACCTCACATACAACCTCCAATTATTATCTTTGGTCTCTCTGGAATCTATTCTTCGTACTCTAATGTTCTAGCAAGACAAACTCTGAACACTACCCATGGTGAGCTAAGCAAAAGCCCCAAGAAATCCCTGCAGACTCCAAGATTATAGCAATGAAAACGGGTAGAAAAGTCAGTAGAGAACTCTTAGGATGGAAATGATTTTTTACCTCTGTGGGAAATGGTATCAGAGGAAGCGGTTACAGATGTGTGGTAGACACCATGTGTGTGGGGGGGGCAGATACCCCAAGGAATAGAGGAAGCATTATACTCGTGGATAACAATATAGTTTAAAGCAAAGGAAATACCTGTGTAAGATTGCAGTGGCCATATGGTAGTTCCTTTTTTTTGTGGTAATACGGTATGAACTCAAGAGTTTTGTACTTCCAAAATAGGACTCACCATTTGAGACACACATCCAGTCCACTTTGCTCTGTTTATTTTGGCAATAGGATTTCACAAACTATTTGCCCAGGCCATTCATGAGCCACAATACCCCCAATGTTAGCCTCCAAAGCAGCTAGGATCATAGGCATGAGCCACCGAAGTCTAGATGAAAGTCCCTTTGTATGCCAGCATGGGCAACAATGGAGACAGAGCTCCAACCACAAGCCTATGCCAAGTGATTGCAGGAGGAAGAAGAGAAATTAAAATAAGGACAGTCAGGACCAGCAGGAATAGGTGCCCTATGAAAATGGAGGTGAGGAACCCAGAACCTGAGCCAGAATATGGAATGGGTCAGGTGGCACTGCTGCATCTTGAGTGAAAGGAGAAGCTTTCCTGTGTTGGTTCCTGACTTGTGTCTCAGGATGACAAAGTGTGGGACACAACTGCCTTGTGTATCATAATATCTAAATGTAGAACTAATGATTCATTGGAAAAGAAACTATAAAAGGCATATTCAGGCAGAAAGGAACCAGTACATAACAGGAAGAGAGAGACATGAAGAAAGTCATGGGAAGAGAATATTGTTTGAAAAAAGGATTTTTTAATGCAAAAATAGGATTTTGTCCTAAAGCAAAATGACTGGATTGTTTCAAAATAAAAATAGAAAGATAAAGGCAAAATCACAAAATTAAAGTAATTCATTGGGAGATTTTGTGGAGGGTGAAATTGATGAAAGAAAATTTGTGTGATTAAGTTGTTTATGATTAAAATTACTTCAAGAGTTTTCTCAAACTAAAATTTGGCTAGTAAATGTAAAAAAGTTATAAAATTAAAAAGAGAATATAAAAAGATGTCATATTGAAAAAAAGAAAGGAGTAAAAAAATTTTGTTGCACCAATTTAAAACCAAAATATAATTCTCTATGTTTATGCCAATAAGCTTTTCTTAAGACATTGATTTGCTTTTAGTATAATTTAGACAAACTGGCTGAGGAAGGAAAGATTTTGTATTTTTTCAAGATAATTTATTGCATGTTCTGAAGTATTTACTAGGATTTTGATTACTTGGGAAAGCTGAGTCTTAAAAGAATTAAGATTTGTCTATTTTTAAATCTTTTAAATAAGTACTTTATAACTCTGGTCAAGTGAAACTTTAAATATTTTTGCTATAAATGACTAAATATAGCACAGGAAAATAGTTGTACCCTCATTAAAAGAGAAAGTTTTATGCATACCACTGATAATTTTCCCAGTATGCCTTTAGATCTGTGTGACTTCTATTTTCACATGTTTGCAATCTCTTTCTGCTACCTGGAGAAATGTTTCATTTGGTCTGCTTGCTTTGTTAGTAGGGCTGTCATAATCTATTGCTCTCGTATTGTTCTTGCAGAATTTGGTTGCTATCTACATTTTGGTATGCCATCCCAGCAACATTGGGGAAGATGAGTATGATAAGACTATAAGAGTTTTCAGTCACATAAGAAGTGTAAAAATGTTTCCTGAGAAAAGTAGAACATCAAATGAAAAAATGCTCTTTTCCATTAACAAGGCTCTTGCCAAATTACAAAAAGGAAAATGAGGGTGGCTGAGACTAGAACGTCCCCAATAAATACTATCTAAAAGAATAGTAGTTCCCCATATGAAACCTACCAACTGGTCAAACTAGTGTTAGGAGAAGGTGCTTTCAGTAAGTGTCTATCCAGCTATCCAGGTAGCCTTCACAGGACTTTCTGGCTAGCAAAGTGGAGGATAAATGTTTGCCACTGGGAGAAAAGCACTGTGGAGAGGACAAGAGCCATTAGTCCATTCAGCCACCACTGAACCATTGATGAATCTGAGCATTGCTCTTCCCATACATGTTCATGTTAGAAACTGTGGATTACTAAGTTTATTTCCCCTGTTAGCCTCCTTGTTAGTAAGTATACTTCCTGGGTTCATGTCCCTGTCAGCAACTTCCAATAAAACTCACATACTGCATGTCTGTCTAGGTATTTTATTCAATCTCTTAGCAACTTAACCCTCTGTTCTAGTGCAGCTATGCTGTAGACAATACGATGGGGTTTATCAATAAGTTATTACATTGTGAACAATACATGCATGAAGTAAATTGAATATTGCAATATATTATAGCATTCAATGATTCAAAGATGACTACTATTAATTTTCTTTAGAATCATTTTGTTAAAATTTATTTTTCAGATATACCCAAAACAATATGAATCATTATAAATGAATGTTAATGTAAACAATTTATTCCTTTTCTCACTAAATATATATTTATATTAAAATTCCTCCTTTACAACTTAAACTCTGAAGAGCTGACATTTCAGTTGCTTATACTTTACCTATTGTTTAATAATAACATAGTATAATGCTGTGAACTCATTCAGAAAGATTTAGACCCCTCTACCAGTGACCTTTGAAGAGAGTCCATGCCTTTCACCACCAGCTTTCATTTGTGCAGTTGCCATATGGTTGTCAACAGCATCATATCTCTTCTCCAGTGTGAGAAAAAGAATGAAAGTCAACAGATTCTCAGAAATTTAGATGTAATAAAATACTGGAGCTGCTGGTCATGAGGACCTGACTAATGCAGTTGGGACAGAATGACAGGAGTTTAGGATCTGAGAAGTGAGGTTATTTATATCAATCGATACTTGTGCCTACTATTTTGTCTCATCCTAAGGTAAAGATAAGAGGTAAATTTTATCCCAGATGAAGAAACTTTATTTTAGTGAAAGTCAGGGAGATTTTTTTTCCTGTTAAATTTGTAAATCCTGCTTGTCACATTAGTTTTGCAAGGGACACTGCTTTATTTTTTCAATAGCTATTTTTCAATGCCATCCTGTAGCTCCACATTATAAATAGCAAAAGAAAAAATAATGTTCAACCAGACAAACAAAGGCATTAAATTTTCATACTGAGAGTTTTAAAGCAAGAAGTATTTTGTTCATTCTTATTTATTTATTTGTTACTTATTTAATTCTATATGCTGTTATGGACATGTATAGGGTGATATCAGTGCATAAGAAAAACACAAACGATACTTATTTTGACTACCTAAAATTACCTTTCAATTCATCAACTGTATTTATAAACCTATTTTTTAACTGAAAACTAAAGGAGATCACGTTGAGTTGTTAAGTGGGAAAAGATTGCTAAATCCCATTATTTGTCATTGGGACTTAATTACCCTTGAAAAAGGGAAGCACAGAAGGATATTCTCAGCAAAGTACAAACTGATCTTCTTTCTACTGTTATTGATGCTCTGTTTAGAGAAAGACAAGGACCAATAAGAGCTAATCCTTACACTCAATTTAGGCACACTGAGGAGGAATGGGAAATATCTTGAAGGTTGTGTGGGGAGAACCTCTGTCAATGTATTAGAGAACTTATTCTCAGAATCATCAAATAGTTTTGAAGGGGAAACAAAATTTTACCCAGAGCAGAATTTATTGATTGCTTTTTTCAGAGCACCCTTCACATCCTTATTTCTTAAGCTGTAGATCAGTGGATTTAACATAGGGATCACAACTGTGTAGAAAACAGAGGCCATTTTATCTGTGTCCATCGAATAACTTGAGCTGGGCCTGAAATACATGAACAATAGTGTACCATGAAATATGGCCACAACTGTTAGGTGGGAGGCACATGTAGAGAAGGCTTTACATCTGCCCTCAGCTGAGTTCCTCTTAAAGATGGTAGCTAAGATACAGCTGTAGGAGAGAAGAACAGTGACAATGCTAACCCCGACAACACAACCAATGAAAGTGAACATCACTATCTCACTGTTGGATGTATCTGAACAGGAAAGAGCTAGCAAAGGAGGGATGTCACAGAAAAAGTGATTGATGACATTTGACTTACAGAAGGACAATTGAAATGTGAAGCAGGTGTGGATTGCTGAATCCACCAAGCCTACAGCATAGACAGCAGACACTAGCTGGGTACAGATCCTCTGGGACATTGCAATTGTATAAAGAAGGGGACTGCAAATGGCCACATAACGATCATAGGCCATAACAGCCAACATGAGACACTCCACATCTGCAAAGGCTCCAAAAAAGTACATTTGAACGGCACATAAATTATTTGGAATTCTCTTTTGCTCAGATAAGAAATCAGCCAGCATCTTGAGAGAAACAGTGGAGGAATAGCAGACATCACAGAAGGATAAATTATTTAGGAAATGGTACATGGGTATGTGAAGTCTGGCATCCATGTGAATCGGTAGGATCATCCCCAGTTTGGCAATCATAGTTATACCATAAACAAAGAGGAAAAGCATAAAAAGCCCCTGTTGCATATCCTGTCTTTCAGAAAGTCCTAAGAATACAAAGTCAGTAAATGTAGTATAGTTCTCAACAGCCATCACTCAGTTCTGGAAATTCCTGGATGAGACAAAAAGGAAATGGAAATGAAGAATTAAAAATATTGCTGGATTCATAGGTAAACTCCTGGTTCTTTCCTTTTTTTCTGTATTTAATAGTAGATAATGCTGCCACTATTTAAAGTTATCTGGACCTACTATAAATTTATCCGGTTTAATGTTATTCAATAAGATGAAAAAAGTATCTCTTAAATTTACTTATCTCAGTACAGAAACCAAACTAAGAATTCTTAAAGTTAGTTGGTTCAAATAACCCTCACCTTCAGACAGCTTTATTGTTTATTTTCTTTCAGTCTTGTAGAAAGGTAACATCTTGTAATAGAGAATCAGTTAAGTGTGAAGAGTAGATAATGAATATATGTCATGCTCATTCTATCATATAAAAGTGTTTAACAAACAAAGCTCTGGCAGAGCTATCCCTCAATGTAAATTTCGTATAGCATCCATATCCCTTTGAATCATTCAGTTCTCTCCAGCTTTAAATATAGGCTTGCCTCCTACTGTAACTGGAATGGAGATAGTCTGTGGCTCAGGACCCACTGTAGTAAGGTAGGTTGTTGTTGTTAAAGGAAGCGAAAGGAACAATAGACCCAACTAGACAGACAGGAATATGCCAGAGCTCACCATTTGCTCCTTTAAAATCTGCTGTTACTCAGTGAGATTCTGAAATACATTTTGAACCTAAATTGCAGGGTTACTGGTAATGCATTTGAGAGAAAGACCAGAAAAGGCTATGGTCCCCTAACTGAGTCCCTCGAATCAACTAGAATCTGCATTATCTCTTCACTTTAGATCAGATTGTACAATAGATAATAACAATCTCCCAAAACCTGAGAGATTTGTTTTTTAACAGAACAGTGGGCCCTATGCTAAATCCCCAAAAGTTATTATATTCATTATTGTTTCCTTTGATCCCTTTCTTACGTAAAACAGTTGAATACTCTGGTTTGGTATTAAAAAGTTTGTAATCCTTGGGAGGCTAATTGAATTCTAAGCTCTTCTGTTTATTCTACTCAGTACATGTTGTCTCGTACGTATATATAAAACACAAGCATCCCCTTCAAATACATAGCTGTATGAAAAATGTCCATTTGAAGATAGATAAAAATAATGAAGAAAATTTAATTAATAGTACAGTGATCAAGATGTGGTCTCCAAACATTGTGTAAACTCATTTAAATTTCTGTCTTTAAAGACACATCTTTAAAGATAATGATTTCATTAAAAATATAAGATTTTTAATATTATAAAAATTAATGATACAATATTATAGATCATAAATGATATTTGACCACTGCAAAAAGCCATGTTAGCATTTTCTGTCTTCCATGCTATTTTTACATAAATATTTAAAATTCTAAATCTGGAAAGTAATTAAAATAAAATGTTTGCACAATGTTTCATAGTCTCATTTTGTTTTACCACATGCTTTTAGAGAAAAATAGATACGAGAACTAAGGAATGATGTAATATATATCAGAAAGCCAGCATAAAATGTTAATACCTGATACCTTTCACTGCTGCAGCTCTACTTGCAAGAGACTTCAGCACTGTCTCTTCCACCACTTGTATTATAACCATCTCTATGCCTGGTCCCTGGGTGCTGAACATGTAGTCTCTCAGGAATAAGTCATCAGTATAAAAATATGGCTAAACGTCTGGCATTTCATGGTTGAGAAAGAAAAGGAGTCGTTTTTATTTCTTGTTATATTATTATGTAGTTTGATTAGCCAAGTTATATCATATTGTCCTTAGAAAATGACACCATTAAATCTGAACTTATTACTCACAGTTACTGATCCCCATATAGACATTTTCTTGCTGTTACTTACTTTTGGTTTTTGACCAGACTGGCTTCCAACTCATGATCCTCTTAACTCAGCCTTCCTAATGCTGGGATTACAGCATTTTGTGTTAATGGTGTAAAGTACAAAACTATTAAGTACCTACACATATACTCGGGCATATATTTACACATACTCTTCATTAAACACACTCAGAAATTAGAGATTTTTTAAAGGCACCAATAATTAACACACAGCCTACTGTCCAGGGTAAATTAGATGTTGTTATCTATACTAAGGAATTTTTAATTTTTAAACAAAAATGATGTGAGAACAAACACTCTACACATAAATAAAAATTTCATTAGATACAATGTATTCCTATTACACTAATTTATTTATTCTGTCCTGTATCCTAGGCCATTATATACAATTTTTCATATAGTTCATTTTCCATATAATAAAATGTCTAGTTATGAGCAAAACCTTGTATACACAGCTTACCATATCTAGGTGGCTCTTTGACATAAACTTTAAAAATAGCCCACAAGATAAAAAGATTTGATCTTATCATAGTCAAGCATCTTAAATCATCTAAGTATTACCAAATATTATATCATACCATTACCAGAAAGTTTAGCACTGGTGTATATGGTTAACACTCTTATACCCAACAAGAGAATAATTCAGGCAAGACACAAAAATGTACTAAAATAATAGTAAAGTTTTTAAGGAAAGGAATCTAGTTTAACAAGATAAAAGTGGGGAGAAATGGGAATTGGGAAGAGATCAAAATTTCCTGCTCCCCATCCCTAGTATTATACTTTCTGATCTGGGAGATATACAAGGTCAATAAGATATTGGATTAGTTCCGGAGAAGGGGATCAGGAATTAGAGAAAAGGTCAGTTCAAGAAGAATGAACTTAGAATGTAACACATTTGTACATGGAAGCAGTGCTATGAATCTCCCTGTATAGCTCTTCTTATCTCAACTAGCAAAAATTCTTTGTCCTTCTTATTATTGTATATACTCTTTCTTCAACAAAATTAGAGATAAGGGCAGAACAGTTTCTGCCTGGAAGCAAGGGGTGGAGGGAAGAGGAAGCAGGCAGGAGGGAGAGGGAGGGGGCAGGGAGAAGTGGGAGTAGGCAGAGTGTAGGGGGAAGAAATGACTCAAACATTGTATGCACATATGAATAAATGGAAAAAAAATTTTAAATAATAATAAAATATTGGATCTGGGTGGCAAACATGGGTGCTGGAGGCATCATCCAGGCCTATTCAAATCACAGAGAACATAGGCATACTTTAAAACTTCTTTTTGTTAGACAGCCTTTCATTCTTTTGCCCTTCCTCATTTAAAGAGCCTTGAAGCTTGTTAACATGTCAAAATGGAAGGCACATGTAGATAGCTGTATCTTTCCCTGTTCTTTTAACTTCACATTTAAAAAAAATTAGAAGGGTTGCCTAGCTGCTCTGGCTTTTAGTTTTTACCTTCTAGTTTAAAAGTCTGTGTCTGGTCATTTTACTATTTACAAAAACAATATAATTTCCCTGCCACCTCATCTACCAATGCTTTCTCATCCATCACATCATTCATGGTTAGTTGCTATCTAACTGTATTTTATACATTCCACATATATCCTGCATTGTCTTATCAGCCTTATTACATGACACCTGTTAGAAATAAAACACTGGAGACCAGAAATTGAAAACATGGAAAGGTAGATTATCTCAACAAGGCAATTTACTTTTGTGCAGAAGAGTGAACACATGCACTTGGAGCTAGCATATAGGCACACAGAGCATGCAGTCCACCCTGGTTCTTATCCCTACCAAGGAACAAACTGCCACTTTTCCCTGATTGGCTAGGGTAAGGGTTCACACTGTTGTCAAGATTGGCTAATGTTACTTTTGGAGTTTGAGGTGGGGTAGGTAGTAATTTCAGCTCAAAAATGGAGCTCAGTGAACAAGAATCCGGAACTGCAAACAGGTAAGATGGCAACACACTTTGATAGACAAGACTGCTTCCTTCACAGTTCCCCCTCTTTTTATTTTCCATTCTTTTCTTCAAACTCATTTAGCATTATTTGCCTTTTTGTTTTAGCTGTACTCAACAACAAATTGGTAAGATACAGGAGTTTGTTTGGTTAGGGCAGTTTCTATGAGTCTAAGAATTAGTCCCCATAAGCAGGGTATGAACAGCATTTGACCAAGATCATTTTTTCTACCACAATAAGAGAGATCAGCATGGAGGTCATCACTCTTTTCTACTTTTTTTTAACTATTGTTTTATTAAGTTGGTGAAAGGGTCATCTATTCCCAAACTTTTTTACCATCTTGTTTGTTCAGGTTGTTAGATCTTGAAAGGCTTTAGTTATAGTCCCCTCTCGTATGGTATTATTAGGGGTAAAAAGTGCAGCATTGGCCTTCAATCATGATGCATACTGCTTCCTGCCTTTTTTTTTTTAGCTAAGATCATATGTAAAACAATCTGATTTTCCCAGGCCACCTGACTGGTAGGGTCTAACTGATAGAATAACAATGTTACCATTTGTAAATCAGTGGCCATTTTATCCTCAGACCTCACTTGAGAAACTCCCAAGAACAGCCCCACCCTTAACAGAAATTCCCATGCTCTAAGACAGCCCCACCCCTATCAGAGACTACCGCACATGTGCTAACTTCCTTAATCTCCCCCTAATATAAAAGCCACACCTGGCCCAGAATCTGTGCTGTGCCATCTTTCCCCAGCCAGCCTAGTGGTTCAAGCCTGCCGTTACTTTGCCCTTGGACATGAGACTTTTCTCGTGAGCTTTCTTTGTGAGAGGCATTTTTCCTAACATTTTGGTGCCATGACACAGATTGGGTGTGCTCCCGGCACTGACCTTGCTCTCCCGGTCTCCCCCACCCCATCCTGCTCTCTCTCTGTCTCAACTCCCATTCCCTTCCTCCATGATCTGAGCTGCTTTGCTGGAACCCCCAACCCTAGAAAACACCACTCTATCACAGCTCACAGGGAATTTCCTCCTGCCAGCACATCTCCAATTGCCATCCACCACCAGTCAATCTTCTCTCAAGGTCCTCTCTCAGTGAGTCCTTCTCATACGTAGAGCTGTGATCTTTCTCTCTCATTTCCTTGAAATCCTAGTGCTAGGTCTTGGCTCACTCCTGTCTGTGGGAACGGGGTTCCCCACT